TGGTCATATGTTGTAGCAGGGTCAGCTGGGAGAGGTCCTGCTAGACGTGGGCTATACTGCAGAAGTGAAAGAGGAGTGTGTTTGTGTTTATATTGCATGAGAAAAACACCAAGTGAGTTCCTTTCTGAATCTGCTACTGTACTGAGCAATGTCTCGTGGATGTAGTGTGGGAAGGGTGTGGTAATGAGCCATGTTCCCTGGATGCAGTGTGGGGAAGGATGCGGTAATGAGCCATGTTCCCTGGATGTAGTGTGGGGAAGGGTGTGGTAATGAGCCATGTTCCCTGGATGCAGTGTGGGGAAGGATGCGGTAATGAGCCATGTTCCCTGGATGCAGTGTGGGGAAGGATGCGGTAATGAGCCATGTTCCCTGGATGCAGTGTGGGGAAGGATGCGGTAATGAGCCATGTTCCCTGGATGCAGTGTGGGGAAGGATGCGGTAATGAGCCATGTTCCCTGGATGCAGTGTGGGGAAGGATGCGGTAATGAGCCATGTTCCCTGGATGCAGTGTGGGGAAGGATGCGGTAATGAGCCATGTTCCCTGGATGCAGTGTGGGGAAGGATGCGGTAATGAGCCATGTTCCCTGGATGCAGTGTGGGGAAGGATGCGGTAATGAGCCATGTTCCCTGGATGCAGTGTGGGGAAGGATGCGGTAATGAGCCATGTTCCCTGGATGCAGTGTGGGGAAGGATGCGGTAATGAGCCATGTTCCCTGGATGCAGTGTGGGGAAGGATGCGGTAATGAGCCATGTTCCCTGGATGCAGTGTGGGGAAGGATGCGGTAATGAGCCATGTTCCCTGGATGCAGTGTGGGGAAGGATGCGGTAATGAGCCATGTTCCCTGGATGCAGTGTGGGGAAGGATGCAGTAATGAGCCATGTCGTGGACGCTGTAGCTGGAGATGAATAAGCTATTTAACATGTTCCTTCTTCTCCTCTCCTAGGACTACGTCTTCACAGAGGGCGACTTGGTCTTCCAGCCTGGGGAGACGCGGAAAGAGGTGCAGGTGCCACTGCTGGAGCTGACTGAGATAGACGCCCTTCTGCAAAACCGCCAGCTCAAACAGTTTTCCATGGATCTGCTCAACCCCAAGTACGGCACCAAGATCGGCAAATACCCACAGACCACGGTGACCATCACTGACCCAGGTGGGGATGCTGCCAGCGAGCCGGGCTTTTCCTGCATTGACAGCTTTTTGTGCCATGTCCTGCCGGCAGATTGAATGATGCTAGGCCAGGAAAAGCAGTGTGAGGCGTGGGATCGTTCCAGTGCACCACACCAGAGACGTGTATAGATGTGTGGTTTGAGCTTCCAGAGATGTTCCGTGGGCAATGCACTTGCTTCAGTGTGCACCAGAGCTGAGCCTTAGGCCCAATCGGACAGCTACCTTGTGTGGTTAATGAGACAACATGGCTGAGGTGACCTTTTACTGGGCCAAGATCGGCTGGTGAGGGAGACAAGTTTTCTCACTTACCCAGAGCTTGGGAAAAGGACTCAGAGTGTCACAGCTCTGTACAAGATGGAACCGATTTGTTAACTTATTTCAAGGGACTATTCACAGAGTGGCCCATTAACACCCATGAGCCAGTCACAGGGGGAAGGCAGCTGGGGAAGGGGTTGTGAATGGATTACAGATTATTGTAATAAGCCATAAATCCCGTGTCTCTGGTTTTGTGTGCACCTACAATTGATCAACAAAATGTGTTGTTCATGGGTGCTTAACCCCTCCCCGTGACAAACATTTTGCCATGGCAAGTACAAGTGTAGACGTCGCTTTGTCAGCATGCAAGCGCTAACACCGCTCACGGGGGTGGAAGTACATTGTCTGCAAATGTGCCGACAAACAGCATTCATGCACCGACTTTTTGTGTTGCCAAAAGCTGGGTAGTGTGGCCATAGCCAAACCATAGCTTCAAGTGCATAGGTTTTAGTGACTGGCGGAATAGTGAGTTGAAGCTCCCTGCATCTTTTGATGGTGTTGTGCAGCTTTCCTTTGAGAATGAGGTCTGACAAGTCCGATACAGAGAGGTCACTTTGTGAAAAGTGCGCACCCACACGTGACTTTAAAGAGTGTAAAGAGAAGCTAGATAATTTCATGGAGGTTAGATCCATAAAAGGCTATTAGCCAGGGGATAGAATTGGTGTCCCTGGCCTCTGTTTGTCAGAGGCTAGAGAGGGATGGCAGGAGACAAATCGCTTGATCATTGTCTTCGGTCCACCCTCTCTTGGGCACCTGGTGCTGGCCTCTGTCGGCAGACAGGATACTGGGCTAAATGGACCTTTGGTCTGACCCAGTAAGGCCATTCTTATGACTGTGATTTTGCCTTTTATCTTTTTCCTGTGTGCATTCATGCGAGAGCATAGTGATTGTCTTGTTTCTCCCACCTAGTCGTGATTATGGCAATTAGTGGCTTGAATGAGGAATGCCACATGTTGTTATAGGCACGAGTAGGACCCCTGAACCTTCAAAGGTGTGTTGTGAGAGGGTTGATCACTGTAGTCATACAGGTTTTGCATGTTGTACTGGTGTATTTAATGTTATAGTTTTGGTTCCCTCAATGGTAGGCATGTGCATGGACCGCATCTCTGGTCCAGGGACCAGAGGAGTTGGAGCGTGTCAGTTGCAAACTGAACTGGAATTGGCTTCTCTGTTTTCTTTCCCTGTGGATCTAGGGGCAGGTTAGCAGTGTTTTGGGGGGAGTTGGTAAATCACATAGGACTGACTGCCCTGTTGATGCTTGAGTCCAATTAAAGGGATCTGTGGAGTTTAGACGGGGCTGGCAACATACTTTGCTGGGCCCTGGGCAATGTTGGAGGGGCATGGCACTGGAGCCCCAGAAGGGGTGGGGCCTCGGTCAAAGTGGGCGGGGCTAGGGACTAGTGTGAACCTGCCAGCCCTTAGTGCTGCTCGGACTGTGCCGTGCAGGGCTCCGTGAGCAATTTAACAGGCCTAGGGCTCCGGCCACTGGTGCCACTACAGTAATGGTGGTGGTGGCCTGGGGCCCTGGGCCCTTTTAAATTGCCAGATGCCAAGACAGCAGCTCCCTTTGCCTCCCTCCCCATCAGCAGCCCTGGGTTTAGATACCTGAGCAATCAGGGGCCCTTCCTGAGTGAGCCAGGCTATCTGGGTTGTATGGCTAATGGCAGGCCCTATGAGAGAGCAGCACAGGGGTAGAGAGTACTAAAGTCATCATTAGGGATGTACTTGATGCTGTCATGGGGCTTAATGGAACTGTGATCCAAAGGAGAAACTGCTCTGGAAGCATCATAAATTGTACAATGGAAAAGCCAAGAGCTCCCAGAAAGCCAAGCCAAGCAGGCGGCATATTCTCTCATGCACATCTGGGTCACAAGCCCCATGGGCATCACAGAAGAGGCAGAGTGGCTCAGTGGCTAGTTTTGGGGATTGGACACCTGGGTTCTATTCCTGACTCTTACGCAGGTTTGCAGTGTGACCATGTCGCATTGCCTCCTCCTGCCTCAGTTTCCCTTCTCTGCTACTGATCTGCTCCTCTGACCCTAAAAGCCTGATGGAGCCGGAACTGGAGAAGAGGGATGGTGCGGGATGGTCACTGACGCCCTTGTGGCATTTCGCTCTCCCACTGCAGAGGTTGTGGATGGCATGCCAATCCCCATTGGCTTGGCCCAGCTCTCTCAGTCTCCCAGAGGCAAGCTGGGTGCCCCACTCAACCCGAACGCCCAGGCTCTGAGCTCCAGGAAAATCCGCTTCAACTGGTTACCGCCCCCCGGCAAACCCTCAGGGTACAAGGTAAGGGATGAAAAGGTCCCTGGGGCAGGCGTAGACATCCCGTCATCCTGGGGCACCAGGGCCACACCAGTCCAATGATGGCCATCCTCCAGTGGGGGAGCGGAGAGAAGGGGCTGGCGGGTCGGGGGGTTTCGTGGGTGGACAGGAGTAGGATGTCCTGGGTGGATTCTCTCAGAGAATACTAGGACTGGAAGGGACTTCGAGAGGTCATCAAGTCCAGTCCCCTGCCCCCATGGCAGGACCAAATACTGCCTAGACCATCCCTGATAGACATTTATCTAACCTACTCTTAAATATCTCCAGAGATGGGGATTCCACAACCTCCCTGGGCAATTTATTCCAGTGTTTAACCACCCTGACAGTTAGGAACTTTTTCCTAATGTCCAACCTAAACCTCCCTTGCTGCAGTTTAAGCCCATTGCTTCTTGTTCTATCCTCAGAGGCCAAGATGAACAAGTTTTCTCCCTCCTCCTTATGACACCCGTTTAGATACCTGAAAACCGCTATCCTGTTCCCCCTCAGTCTTCTCTTTTCTAAACTAAACAAACCCAGTTCTTTCAGCCTTCCTTCATAAGTTGTGTTCTCTAGACCTTTAATCATTCTTGTTGCTCTTCTCTGGACCCTCTCCAATTTCTCCACATCTTTCTTGAAATGCGGGGCCCAGAACTGGACACAATACTCCAACTGAGGCCTAACCAGCGCAGAGTAGAGTGGAAGAATGTCAGATCTTATTCCAGTACAATAAGGGAAAGTCAGCGAGGGACTTCTCTCATACGAAACCTGTCTGTCTGTCTGTCTGTCTGTCTGGGGTGGCCCTGGAGTTTGTGGAAGTGAAAGAACATGTGGCTTTAGGGAGAGGCAGGCACGGTGCCAATCTTCTCTGCACGCCTTTGTCCAAAGCCTGGATTTTTAGCTCCTGTGCGTCCTGCTACTCCAACCCTCCACCCCTGCAGTTCAGCCACTGCTCCTCATGCCTTGCCTGAAGCACACCCTGCCTGACAGCCCGCAGCCCCAGCACAGCTTTGCCAAGGCACAGGGACCTCAGCCTGCAGCACCTGCCCTTGCTTCCTCTCTCCTGTGCAGGGGCAGCTAATCGTGCCCGAGTGCTTTCTAGCTTCCTGGAGTGAAGCTCCTGGGGACTCAGAACTCCTTCCCTTCGGTGGGAGGTTGCATTTCTCCAGGGCGGACAGGCCACGGTGTTCTCGCTGTGCTCCCAAAGAGGTCTTGGGAGGAGGAGGAGGGATTAGCAGGCAGAGCTTCCTACCAGCGAAATCTGTCTCCCAGGGAAAGTGGGTCCAACCCCATCACTTAGCATAGGGAAAAGTAGCCTCGGCAAAGCTCCAGAAAATGCATGGCAGGGAACAGTCCAGTGCTGGGTGAGGGCTGGACTAGATGGTCAGTGTTGAACGTACGGTGACCCCGCTCCCCGTGCAGGCTGTGCTCCACATAGGCCTTCAGTGGTGCCTGGTCTTCTCTGGGGTGCATTGCACCCTGCCTGGGCATCATGCACGTTACTCCAGGCGGCCGAGGCAGTGGGCTGCATGAAATTTGCCCGTGGTTTATACTGGCTCCTGGCGGCTGGGAAGGAGGAGCAGGAGGACTGGGGAGCGGAGACGTAGTTAAGGTTTTCTCTTTCCTTGCAGGTGAAGTACTGGATCCAAGGAGACCCCGAGTCGGAGGCCAAGCTAATCGAGTCCACAGTGCCCTCGGCAGAGCTGAATAACCTGTACCCCTACTGCGACTATGAGATGCAGGTCTGCACCTACAGCAGCATGGGCGAGGGGCCCTACTCTGACGTCATCCACTGCCGCACCCTGCAGGAAGGTGAGCGGCTTCCTGCCTTGTTCCCACTGGCTGCTGCAGCGTGTGTGGGGATTCGGGCCCAGCGAGCAGCTGATGTGGCCAGAGGACATGCCCCACATATGGAAGGCTGAGGCCTCATGGGAAATGTCCCCAGGACAACTTGGTCTTGTAAAAGGCACGACCTGGTCGTCTTCTGCCCAGGCCTGGGAGCCAGTTTGAGGTTCTGCTCCTGGCTCTGAAACAGCATCATCTGTGGCTTTGGCTAAGTCGCCGAACCCCTCCCGCCCTGTCTGGGGATCTCCTAGTGTGTGTGCTGCATCTGGGGGCGAGCCTCCCGGCTTGTGCTCTGCCTGTAGCCATCGCTTTCCTGTTGCCATGCGGGCTGGAGCTCAGGCTCTGACACCCAGCTTGAGAGCCTGAGCTGCAACATCTATCCCGCTTGTTTTAGCCTGCCAGCCTGAGTCTGTGGTCCTGGCCTAGGAGACTGGCTCCCTGTCACCTTGTAGAAGTGTCCGTCTCAGGCCTGCCGACAGGGAGACAAAGGGGACAATTGTTCTGGGGCCTACAGTGGCACCAGCTGGAGTCCCAGATCGTTTAGCATTGCTGCTGGAGCCACTCTGAGGGCCGGCGTGGGGCGGAGGGGCTGGCTGCATAGCCTCTCCCCCCTTCAGTCCAAGGCCTCGCCCCTTCTGGGAGTGCGGAGTTGCCCTCCATATTGTCGAGGGACCTTGTTGGCTCCCCTGACCTATCCAGCCTCATTTTCTGAAGTGCTGAGCACCTTGCATACCAAGTGCGTGTCCAGGTATTATCCTGTTCTTATCACTGGAGCCCGAGCCCCTGTGGTAATGGCGCTATTCCCCTGCTGTTCCCACATGGGGCGGGGGGGACTAATAGTTAATGACAAAGTGAATGTGGGGTGAGTGTGTTACAAACAAGCTGGGTGAGTGTATTACAAAGGGCTGCCAGTACAAGAGCTGCTCAGACCCTCATAAACTGAAGAGTATTTGCTTCTACCAATCTGAACATCTTACTTCATCTTGTACTGCCCAGGTCAGGAGCTGGGGCTAGCTGGTTTATTAAAACTTGTCATAACAGCAACAACAAGCAGAAGGACCCAAACAAATAGAAATGTGAAATATTGGTCACAGGACTCCTGTCGCCCAATGGCAGCAGGACGTCTTATGAAATTCTGACAGGAGCAAGAGGAATAAGGGATGTTTCAGTTCACTGGCAAGTCTGAAAATCAAAAATACAAAATAAAATAAACCTGGGGGCTTGGGTTGGTTTGACCCAAAACATAACATTTCACTTTGGTTTCAAGCATTTTAAAAAGTTTTTGATTTAGTTTTTATTGAAATTGACAGTACATTTGGAAGCAAAAGGTCATTTTGAAATGAAAAATCAAAATGTTTTATATTTCAAGTGCTGAGGTAAAAGGTTTTGACTCTTTTTAGTATTTTGGGGGGCAAGAGGTATCAAAAATATCCAGCAAAATCACCAAAAATGTATGAGACATTTGCAAAAGAGCGATTTCACTCAAAAAATGTTGCCCAGCTCCTAGTTGTGACCTCACCTATCACCCGCTTTGTATGACTCCTCTTTGTTACTGTGCTGCTGAACACGGTGGGCTGCGGCTCCACAAGTGGCAGAGGAATAGAGAGGCCCAAGGGGAATGTCTGAGGATGATGCAGTGGGAAGATGGCCGCCCTGTGTGAGACCCAAATGGCACGTTTTGTGCCCTTCCATCTCTGGTCTGTGGCTGCCAAGACTTTTCCTTCTCTAGGGGGCCAACTGGAAGGAACCAAATGGGGGGAGGAGAGGAGAAGACAGCCCATCATGGACACGGGCAGCAATAAGCATATTGGAAGGGTCTAGACTAGGAGTGGGCAAAAGGGGCCTCTGCGAGTTGATTTGGCCCACAGAGGCCCTGCCACTCCCCAGCTGATTGGCCTGGGGGTGGGGGGAGTGTGTGAAGTTTCCTCCGCCCTGCCCCCATATTGCAAGGAGCATCCGACGCTTAGAAGTGCCATGTGCTCCTGGTGCGCTTCCCTGCCCCCAAGCCTTGATTGGCCTGAGGGCAGAAGGGGGAGTGCACGAAGTCTCTTCCCACTGCCATGGACATGAGCACCTAGGGGGAACCTCTGGGAAGGAGGAGGGGGGAGCAAAGGCACTCTGCCACCCCCAAACCAATCATGGTCTGTGGGTAGGGAAGCATGGAAGTTTCATGGCCCCCCCCCTTCCACGTCCCTTCCGGTGCAGCCTGGGGCCACTTCAAACATTTCTGAAGTGGCCCCTGGCAAAAAATTGTTGCTCACCCCTGATCTAGACACCCTTGGCTTCAGGACGAGTTTTCCAACACCTTGTAAACCAGCTGGGGTAAAATAAGCACGTGGTGGTGCCACAGTCAGTCAGGAGATCTCCCCAAATTGAGCCAATCGAGCCACGTTTCCCTTAGTCATGTCCCATCACCCCCACCCGGAGAGAGCCTGCCCTCCCCCTGGCTTCTTTCAAACCCCGCCTCTTTCTTCTTGTTCCTGCTAGTTCCTAGTGAACCTGGGCGTCTGGCTTTCAACGTCGTCTCTTCCACTGTGACGCAGCTGAGCTGGGCTGAGCCGGCTGAGACCAACGGGGAGATCACAGCCTATGAAGTCAGCTACGGACTGGTCAACGAGGACAATAGTAAGAGAGGGCTCCCTTGCCGAATGGCCCCATGCAGGCGTCTTTGTGGGACTGTGATGATAAGACCAAGGCAGAAACAGCCAGTCACTGCTCCCAAGCCAACTGTTGGGAGCAGGCCCTGTTACGATGAGTGAGGGAGCACAGGCTGGTGGGGAGGTGGGTGGGGATGGGACCCAGAGCCCAGGACAGAAGCTCAGTATTAAGGGCATGGTCCTGTGCACCCACAGCTCCCATTGACGTCATCTGACTTCACGGGGTGGTAGGGATGCTTCTTGCCTTGACCAGTCTAGGGATTGATGCCTTGGTGGAACAGGGAAGCCCCCTGCTGTAGGCCCATTTCTCTATCAGCTTGTGGAGTTCCACCCAGGACAGCTGACTGCATGAACAGGAACAGCACCCACCTCTGTCCTGACACCCACGGCCCACCCCTCATTGAGTGTCTTGGGCTCAGGGGGCTCCCTAGACCTCTCCAGACAGGATCTAGGAGGTGCATTCAGGGAATGGTGAGGAAGAGGACAGAGGTACCGGTGCAGGGCTGCAGTGCAGATGTCATCTGGGAGCGAAGCCCAGTGACAAAAGCAGGAGCGAGCCCCATGAAGTGGGGTCGGGCTGAGGTCTCCCACTATGATGCCTAGATGTGGGCCCAAGCCACGAAGCTCAGATGAAGAGCCACAAAGTGTGGCGGGTTCTGTCGGTTTGACCCATTGATACAGGCCAGCTGTGAAGTGAAGGCCTGGATCTCGACCCTGCCTGGGAGAGTTTGGAGCAGGAGGTTTGGCTGTGGCCTGTCTCTGGGCATTTCTTAGCGCGCAATGGCAGGTGACACCCCTGCTGTTTGTATTGCTCTTATGAGACAGCCTGACTCCTCCAGCGGGTTGGCATGGAGGGCCCTAGCTCTGCTGTGAGCCCCTAGGACTGCTGCTCTGCTCAGTGCCTGTACCCCAGCACTGCTGACAACCTTAGGTGCCTCAGGGAGGCTGCTGGCCAAGCAACAGCCCCATTGTACTACTTTGTGAGCGGGGTCAGAACTCCAGAGCCGATGTGTCCTTTGGTCCCTGGACAAGTGATCTCTCCCATCAGTCTGTGGCAACCCCTCTGGATGTGTTGGGAGCAGTGTCAGGGAATCTGGTGGGGGTGAGGGGGTGTCGGAAGCAATGCAGACGCTAAACGCTAGTGCGCTACCTGTATGACCACAAACCAAAGGGGGTGCGTGCAGAGGGGGCAAGGGAGCCGTCACTAGGCCTTTGTGCTGTCGTGTGCCGTTTGCCCTTTCAAACGGGAGAGCAAATACAAGGGAAGGAGGCAAGAGAAGTGGGTGTGAGAGAGATGACCCCCTTGGGTGGGTGTGTGCTTCCTCGCAGTTCCCATTGGGCCTGTGAAGAAGGTGATGGTTGAGGAGCCGAAGAAGCGCATGGTCCTGATTGAAAACCTGCGGGAGTCACAGCCGTACCAATACACCGTGAAAGCCAGGAACGGAGCCGGCTGGGGGCCTGCGCGAGACGCAATTATCAACCTTGCCACGCAGCCCAGGCGTCCAATGTCCAGTGAGTGCTTTTCCTGGCCTGTGTGCAGGGAGCCGGGCTGGCGAACTCTCTCCCTCCCTCTCTGTGTTCTAATGTGTCTGTGTCCCTTGAGGTGCCTGTCACTGTGGTATCTGGGTGAGGGGGGGTCCTACTGGCAGGGGAGGGATCTAACCTTGCTCACACAAGCAGCGGGTTTAACGGTGCTCTCTGCCTGCCACTTGTAGTTCCCATCATCCCCGACATCCCGATCATTGATGCCGAGGGCGGGGAAGACTACGACAGCTACCTGATGTACAGCGCAGACGTGCTGCGCTCCCCGACCGGCAGCAAGCATCCCAGCGTCTCCGATGATTCCGGTACGTGTGTTTGGCAAAGAGCATTTTGCTGGTTTCTCTTGACAGCTTTGAACACGGGAAAACGAACCTTCCAAAGTGTGATTTACTAGCCACCGGTGGTTTTGTTCCTCATTCTGCTGCAAAGGCAGAGAGACATCCCTGCCCAAGGCTGAGCTGCCACCTTGCTTCTGTGCTGCTGCCCTGAAGAGCAATGGGCGCTGAGCCTCCTCCACCAGGCAGGGTTGGGTGGGAACGCAGCATCCGGAGGTTGGGCCTCTTGCTGTGAGATTAGGGTACAGAGCACAGCTCCTAGCTCAGTGATGGGCCTCTGTGTATGGCCCGCAAGATGTTTTATTTGCTGTTGTCTACACGCAGGGTTAACAGATTCTGCTGGTTTCTGGCCACGTAGGATTTTTTCCTCCTGGTATTACTAAAATGATGCTCATGTCAAGCAAGGGCCTGTGAGGACCGTGACTGTACGCAACACTGAGTGTGAGAGCCGGGCGCTCCCTCTGCGGCTAATCACAGCACTGCTACAGCTCAGTCGGCACCCTGCAAATCCTAGATACCCAATTACAGTTAGCAAAACGCTCTTAACCTGGGGCACCGTCTTGGCTCTGACGATCTTGCTGCCCATGGAGATGAAGGAGAGCCATGCATGTGGCCCACTCACCAGCTTAAGTTGCTCATCAGCTCCTGGGGTGATTTCTTAGTTCAGCCATTAGGTTAGGGACCTCACTGGGTGATGGAGCAGAGACATTTCCACTAATAGCAGCGTGAGACCCAGAAGGACTCTTCTGGCCCATGGTGTCTTGTTCTCTCCCATCATGCTCTGGGGGTGTCCCACAGGCCGTGTCAAGGCTGCGAGGGTGAATGTGACAGAGGCTCAGCTTGGAATGGAAAGAATGAAAGTGACTTGCTTTGTGGCGCTATGGCAACCAGTCTTGCTGAGGCATCCTTACAGGGGGCTTAGATTGGTGCTCCCTGCCGTGTGCCCTCTCTTTCTCTCCACTTCGGGGCTCAACGCATCCTTGCAGAGAGCGGCCCATGGGCATTAGGACAGCCACGCGGTGGCCAGCGTGGTGAGCTTCGTGGAGTGTGGAGGCCTCTCCTGAGTGCAGAAGGACAGTTCTACCCAGCAGTGTCTGTGAGGGAACAGGTGGCATTGGGACCACCAACCTTATTCTCAGTCTTGATGGAAATGGGGTTGGAGCTCTGGTCTCTGCAGGGCTGGTTGTCCTGTTCCCTCCATTCTCCAGCTCTGTCCCGTGGTCTCTGCACAGCAATATCCCACCAGTGTAGAGAAGGGTTTGTCACAGGCGGCAGATGCAGCTGCTCTTAAAGATTGACCCCACAGTGTGCTGCCGGCAGCCCCATGGTGGCAGGTTCCCCACTTTGCCCCGCAGGCCGTGCCAACACGAGTACTTAAATTGTTCCAAAAGGCTCCAAGTGGAAATATGTGCAGCTGCTGGGGGAGGACTTGGACCTTCGCCGCATCACCTGGAGGCTCCCAGCCGAAATGATCCCCCGCCTCTCTGGCAGTAGCTGCTTCTCCTCAGACACCGAGGGCCTCCTCCGTGAGGATAGCTCCCTCTCTGAGCTGTTGGACACCGACACGGCCAGCGGCAGCCTGACGAGGAGCAGGACGCCCCAGCCCCAACCAGGTGAAGGCTGGCTTCTTCTGCAGTGAATGTCGTGTCTCGTCCTTCTCTGAGCCAAGAGCGTGGAACTGGGTCCTGCCCCCAATGCCCTCTCTGTACTCACATTGGTGTTGGCACGAGGCGCTCGTCCTATGTAATAGAGCCTGCTTGCAAAGTGTTGTCATGGTCTGTCTGTCCGGAGAGTGCCAAGGTAACGCCCGCCTTGGGCATGGACTGGGAACCTGCTAGGAGCTCGCTTCTGCGATAGGCTCGGACCCTCAGGGGAGAAGCCGATCCACACAGTAAGAACAGCCACTTCCAGCAGGCTGCTTCCCATCATCAGTGACTGCGCTGATTAGTATCCTCCAGGTTTCCAGTGCAAATCTGCAGGACTGCTGGTCAGAGAGCAGCTTCTAGGAGGTGCCTGATTTCTGCTGCCCCTTTGGGTGGTCACTTGTGAGGGGCTCGTAAATACTGATAACGGCAGGGTTTGCTTTTCAGGTCTGGCTGAGATGGGCCCCGATGTGAAACCCGTGGCGGCCACCTCCTCAAACTGGCCTTTCTTCTTCTTTCGTTAAGACCCATTATAAGCACATGCAGGAGTCGGGAGATCTGACTATTAGGACATGGGAGGGGGGACCTTAGCAGCCCCCGACAGGCTGAGCTCTGGCGTTACCTTGGGCACAGTGGGGCCACCTGGCATTGTGAAGGGGGAGCAGGGCCCTGTTTGTTCCCCCTGCTGCTGGCTGTGCAGTTGTCACTTGTCTGAAGAGCCAGCGTTACGTTCTGGGACTGCTGGAGAACAGGACAAAGCCGGTGCAGGTGGCCTGGAGCCAGAGGCTGGTCCCGCTGCCTAGACAGCAGTTACAGGGACTGACTGGATCCTCTCTTCCCCAGAGCATCTGCTGAATGGCCGGATGGATTTCACCTTCCCCGGCAGCGGGGGCTCCCTGAGCAGGACCTTGCACACCAGCTACAACCAGCTGTCCTCGCACATGCACCAGGACAGGAGGCTGATGGGCAGCTCGTCTCTGACCAGAGATTACAGCACAATGGGCTCAGGATATGGTGAGTGTGGCGGGGGTGGGCCCCCCCCCCCCCCAGCTCTGCCACAGCATGGGGCTGTCTCCCTCCCCTCTACCTCGTGGGAACACTTGGGTCACACCAGCCAGGGGACTCCCTTTAACGCTGTGACTCAGGGCCCCCTCTCTCCACGCTGAGAAGACTGCCTCTGTGCGGCCCCCCAGTCTCCCTGGGAAAGGAGGGGCTGCCTCTGTGTGTCTCCCCCAGTCTCCCTGGGAAAGGAGGGGCTGCCTCTGTGTGCCCCACCCTGGCTCCTGGGGAAAGGAGGGGCTAGGTTGCCTCTGTGTGCACTAACAGGGCTCCCTGGAAAAGGAGGGGCTGCCTTCATGGCCCCCCAGGCTCTCTGGGAAATGGGGGCTGCTTCCATGCACCCCAAACTCTAGGAGAAGGGGGGCTATCTTCATTGCCCCCCCAAACTGCTGTGGGAGAGGAGGGCGGCCTCCACCTCTCTTACTTTATCTCCACAGTTACTTTCCAGCTCAATGCGTCTGAGAATCGGCCTGGCAATGGGGGCGGGGCTGGAGAAACCCTTTTCATGCTCTTCCTTAAGGGAGCCCCCTCTGCACATGGGCTGCTCTGGCTTCGGATGCCAGATACGTCAGTGCTGTCTCTCTCTCTCTCTCTCTCTCTCCCTCTCTCTGTTTTCCACTGTCCTGTAGACCAGCCAGGGAGGATTCTCCCTCCCCTCCGTGAAGATGCTGGCAGGGTGGCTCTGCTGCCCCAAGACGTAGGTGTGAGGAGCAGGGCACAGGCGAAGGGTTCCTATGCCAGCAATGGCTTTCGGGATTCTATAATCATGCCTGATGGGCTCACTGGGATTTCCAAGTACATAGGTACAGCCCACGGCAAAGCCTTGTCCGGTGTCTTCATGAGCGTCTCCCCTCAGCCATGCATCCCATCGCCAGTCCATCCCTCATGAGCTGCCTGCTGCCCGCTCCTCCAGCTTTGTGTATGCACCGATCCATGCCCCCACCCTGGCTGCGCCTCCCCCTTCTGTTTGCAGGGTTCATTGACCTCGTGAAAGCCATGTGAGCTGATTAACCCACCCCTGCTCTAACGACCTCATCGACTCCCCATCGGCGTCCTGCCCCCCTGGCTCCTAACAAGCCGCGTGTTTGCTGTCTCTCTGCACAGGCCTGGGGGGGGGGTGTTGGGGAGAAGGTGTGCCCAATGCAAAACGTCCCTCGGGCACAGGCACGGCCCCTGAGGCCTGGCTGGGGAGTCCATTTGCTGCCACGAAGGCCGGGGCTCAGGGGTACTCCTTAACCAGGGAGCTGACAGGCCCCTGGACAATGGTGGGGGGAGCGTCACGCTCTTAGAAGGGGCGGGGCCTCAGACTGAAAGGGTGGAGCTTTCCCTGTACTGCCCGGACAGCCCAGTGCCCCCCTCCATCAGTTTGCAGGGCTGGCTAGAGTGCTGCTCTGCAGTGCACCACACAGCACTCTGGCAGCCATTCTCAAGGGCTCGGGGCTCCAGTCGCTGTTGCTGCAATAGTAGTGGCGGCAGCTGGGAACCCCGGGCCCCTTTGAATCACCAGGCCCTGGGACAATTGCCCTCCCCCCCCGCCCCGTCAGCAGGCCTGTCCTTACTCTTCCCACCCTTGGGTCCTGGCAGTGCCGTTTGTAGAGAAAGCCAGGAGCTCCCAGTGTCTAATCCCCACTCCCCCATGTGACCTCTTTGCCTCAGTTTGCCTTCCGTAGACCGGGGCTAGCTGCCGATCGGCCAGACTCTCTTCCTGGGGGACAGGACTGCGAAGGTGATGGGGAGAGGTGCAAAGGCACCGCCCCAGGGGAGTTGTGTGCTCTCCCACTGAGGTGTCATCCTTGATAAGCAGCGGCCAGCTGGTAGCTCAGAGAGAGGAGAGTGTGTGGAGGGCAGAGGAGAGACCCAGGAGTTAACGGTGTGGCTGTGCAAAGGGGTGGGGACGGCTCGTCCCTTGCAGCACTTCTGTGCTCTTCTCTCTGATGCCACCAGTGGCTGGGCGGGTGGCCCCTCCCCCCCTTTGC